TAAAGGTTGCTTAAGATTAAAAGCAGATCAAGATAGCTGCCAGTTTGTCTTATTCCACTCCCACAGAATCGCTTGTTTACTTGTATATATATCACTTTCCCAAAAAAAAAAGTTATACTATAGGGTCTATAGCCTGCTATTATTATCTATCTATATATATAATTCTCCTCTTTGAGCCGTTAGAAAACAAGCTGCAAACGCTCTCCCTACCTCCCCACCCCTACATGGTTTTAGTGAGCTGTGTTCACTCTAAATGTTTACAAGCAGAGCCAACGATTTTAAACGTAGGGGGGGGGGGGGGGGGGGGAGGAAGGGGGGGTTGTGGTCCTTAACGAGCTACTTATAGTGTTTTAAAGAAATATTTTCAGTGTCAGCGTTGGTACTGTCGAATTCACAAATTATGAATTATTGAAAATTAGAAACAACTAAATAGCGGCGTATGTTATGCCGCGGGCCGGCTCGTACCATATATTTAGCATCTTCTAAATGGCAATCTATGGTTTAATTTCATGCACAATAATGATGGATGTATTGCTCTCAAACTCGCGTTGATTAAATATGACCATGTTTATCGGAAACACAATCGGGGGGGGGGGGGGGGGGGGGAATCGGGAGGTTTAAAATAATCCGTTCACATCACTGCTTTCCTTCTCGTCAACATGATGTTCGTGACCTTGAACCGAGCCTCGGCAAGGTTTGTGAGTGGGGCCGAAATCCTCTCCTCGTTAGCTTTGGGCCGCGTGCTTTTGAAGGCCAAGCACCGATACACACAAAGAAACCGGTTCACGAAAAGAAAAAAGCCAAACTCCACCCAAACCATTCCAGCACAATTAATTCAGTAGGCGGCATGTTTAATGTTCTCATAGTTTCGTTAAAAAACGGAACGGGAGTCTAGAAACTGTCGATATCTGTTGTCGTGGCGAGTGGGGATCAGAATTCTGAACATCTGCAGCCATGAGTTTAAGATACATTTATTTGATAAACGAGCCGACATTATTAAAAGTTTCTTAGCATGAAAGGACACACTAGGCTACCAAGTCACGTACGCACTACCGCCCCCCTCCCTCGCTATACATCTCATCGAGCTCTTTACGCCGTGCCGATTCCGTTCCCACTAATTATAGTTACTTAGCCTATACTTATACAACCGCGATGGAAAAAAAAAAGCAACTCCATTCGATGCGGTTGAACATTAGGCTATACCTGATTACAGCGCATGACACACCTTTAAAGAATTTTTTTTTAAACATGCTGCACGCTGCTTGGTGCAACGAAAATGGATCAGCCATCGTTGACGTGAACGAAAGCTGCGACCTAGCAACACCAAGCCTCGGCTACCATGCGAGATAAGACGAAATGTTAGCCTAGGCCCAACGATGCGCTGGAAAAACAATCCGGGCAAAAATACATGCAACTGCAATACGGATGAGTCATGATTCTTCTTTAGAAAGTAGGCCTGCGCCGAAATGAAATATTTAAACTACTTGTAGAGAAAAGGGACGGATAAAATAATTCTGTTTAAAAAAATAAGAATATGTAAAATTACAATTTTTCAATGCAAAGGCTAAAAAAAACAACCTTAGAAATCGGTGATAGATTAATGTAATAACAAACATCTCTAAGCATGATTTGAATGCGAAAGTTTTAAATAAATATTATTTGGCTTAAATTTAGATCTAAATACTCATTTCTTTTTATAAAAATTATGCCAAATCATACTAAGACGTTGTCGTTGGGCCTAGAGAACTAGTCTATATCTTCCGCCAAAATTGTATTACAATCCCGCCATTTCCGCTTCATATAGGCCTAGCCTAGTCTAGCACAAAATGCACTGTGCATGGGTCTGCGCGTCACTATTTTACCACTAAGTGTGTAGTAAGACGTCATTCTTAAAAGGTCGTTTGAAAATTCAACACTGTGGTTTCTTATTAGATCTAGTATTATTGGGCGTAAAGCCTGTCAGCTTTATAAAACCAACACTGCATTATGTTCTGTCCCATTACCCCCACCCCTCCCCCAAAAAAACCCAACACACCTCCAACAAACCAGGCCCGAAAACATGAATTGACAAATGCTGGCTTGTCAGCCCCTAGCCTCAACAACGACCACCGGTGACCTAAATTTAATTTTGAAGTTTAGCCTAACAGATTTTAAGATAAGAAAAAAAAACAGTACCGCTTATGTTAAACGATGACTAAGAAGGCTGTTTTTGCCTGAAACTTATAACGTGCATTTTGGTCTACTAGATATAGATCTTCTAGATCTATAATTAAAAACTCAGTAAATAGATGTATTAAGGTTTAGGCTAGATATAATTTATAATGGTTGTTATATCGATAAAATGTTGGCCCTAATTAGCCTAGCAATGCCCCGACTAGCCTAGACCCCTAGCATTGAAGAAGTTAACGTTATATTATAAATTATATTCTACTTCTCGAGATAGTCAGCTTGTAGGCCTATACTAGCTGGAGTAGGCAAATACATAATTATGTTGGCCCCTATAACTATTATAACAGTACTACAGTAATATACTTAGTTTTAGACCCTAACGTTGAACAGACAATAAGAGAAAGAAACAAAACATGGAAGACAGTAGATACGCTTAATTTATTATAAGATATGCAAACACTGCAAGCGCTTTTCTCATAAATCCGTCTGGCTACACAAGCCTGCGACCAGCGACAAAATTCAAGATGGCGACCCCAGATTCAAGGAATGGAGAGGTTGTTCTTGTTATGTAGGTCGATGAAACGATGAGTTTAACTTTAAGTATACTATCCGTTGTAATGAGAAAGTGTGTTTTTCTTTTAGATAAAGATAATCCAAGAGTTTATGTTTCAAATAACGTTTTTAGTTTGAAAATGTAAACTCCATTTTAATAAAAAAATCCGCTATAGGAAGCTAACTTAAATCCACCATCTCGCTCGAGCAAGGCCTGACAATCATGCGAGCACTTGTCACGTGATTCGTAAACCCACGCAGTAGAAGGCTTTGCCATTATTATTGTTCGTCTGCGCCGAATACCGATTCGCCGCCTCGAGTTTGACCTCGCTGGATACATGAAACAGACTATAGCTCGACGACTAGGCACCGTTGCTGATTTCATCTCCAGTGTTGGACCGAGATGATAAACTAATAAAGCTTGATAACTTAATCGTTAGGCTCTTAATTTGTTGTGTACGTGGACTGTTTTATGGTTGATGGTTAATTAATAAATTAGTAAAAGAATCAATAATGCACGATTTCGTTATACGCAACGGACGAGTAATCGACCCGGCTCTTCAGATAAACCAAGTAGCCGACGTGTACGTGACTAATGGGCGTATTTCCAGGGTTGGAAGTCCTCCAGAAGGCTCCCGCATCTGGAGCTCAGTAGATGCCTCGGGCTGCATTGTGACCCCGGGACTAATTGACCTCCACGTCCATGCATACGAACACGCCACGCCCCTTGGCGTGAATGTAGATCGAATGTGTTTGGCAAGGGGCGTCACCACGGTTGTCGATGCAGGCAGTTCAGGTAAGACGCTTAAAAGGGGGTAAAGAAATACCAGGGGCAAAAAGACAATGGATGTCACACTGACAGCCTGTCAGTTTATTCTTGAAGGGTCAACCGTCGACACAATGAAATACACGCAACAGGACACACTCCTTTAACAGTCGTGGCCCTTGGTGTTCGTGACACACAGACACTGTTTAGTCTTTGTTTCAACCTGGCCCTTTTTTAAACACAAAAATGTGAATAGTCAACCGACAACATACACACCAACATTCCCCGACCTGAAATTTTAACCATATTTTTTTTTATCAATGTTTAGCTAACCTGTGTAGGAGGTAGACTAAGAATTAGAAAGCCTAAAGATTTAACACATGTAAGCCTATTTAAAAAGGTGTGCTTTTGATGTAAAATAATAAATATTTAAAAAACGCTATCAAAAGGGTGGAGGGTGTCAAGGTTCAAGGTACACAAAGTTAAAATAGAATTTCGTTTTTTTTTTTAAATTCATAATGAGTAGATCTAATGTTCTGGTATGGAAAATTAATATCAGTGGGCCATTTGTATAGGTCATCTGATAGGCGAACACATGTGACAGGCGATGAATTATGTATCAGGGATCTATTTATAACGAGTAAGCCTAGCCTGGAGACAACCTCTAAATAAAAACACGCTCTATGTGTGTAGGTTTGAGTAGGTTAAGTGACATTCATCACCCCTCTCCATAGGCCTAGCTAGACCATTAGTGATGCTGTTTGCTAGACAAGAGCTAGAAACTAGGACACGAACAACACGCTTAGAGAGTATAGTCCTATGTAAACAGATGTGGTGTGTTCGTGTTAGCCTAGAGCCCCGCGTGCTACAAAACTGCGGGCTCGTTGCCAAGTCGCTGTGTGACACATGTACGTCTGCATAATGGAGGAGTAGGGGGGAGGGGAACTAATATTGGATGCAAAGTACTGTGTGCGGTTGTTTATTCAACATGTAGGCCTAGCTATTCGCGGAAGGGAAGGTGGATGTTGAGGTCACGTGTTGTCCTGGGGGTACAGAAATAACGGTATTGACTTTCCCTGGGAAATGCTTGCATTGTTTTGCGATAGACACGTAATGTTAAAATAACATACCCACTGTCCCCCATCTATTATTTGAAGCGGATTCGCAATCACTGAACGATTCAGAACTTCCAGTTCTTTTAAAGGTTTTTGTATTTTTTTGAGAAATTCGTGGCGTGTTTCTACTGGTAGCTGTTGGCCTTGCGTATAATGTAGGCGGGCTTTTACTTTTGGCAGCTTTTTCGTTATGCGTTGGCTACGAATTTTAACCAAGGTAATGCTGTTTACTTAGACGGTTACTACTGGACTGTTTTTAAAGCTACAGTGGAAATACTGAAGGGAAGACAAGCTTGTGGTATAATGTCAGTTAGGGACCTAGTGCAGTGGAGTGCTATTTCTACAACTTCCTTTAGCAGATAACACCGGGGTAGGCATGGTTTTTGACCATCTTCACTAAATTCTCACTGGCCCCACTTTATGTACCCGGTTGTCCAGTATGACCATACAGCCACAAGCAGTGTTTCTTCCAGACTTTTTTCTCCGGGGGGGCACTTGAAATCTTCGGGGGGGGCGGTAAACTTTCTTCGGGGGGGGGGCGGACACTGTTAAAAGTATATATTTTCTATATAAATTATATAAATTTCATTTCGTTCGGGGGGGCGGTAAAAATTTTTCGGGGGGGCTTCGCCCCTCCGAAGAGATGCCTGGAAGAAACTCTGGCCACAAGAGGCTCGCGCTTTCCTTAAGTGTCCCTAAACATCACATGACCCACAGTTGTCCGTCTATCAACCCAGTCAGACGGTGTAGACCCAGTCTAGCATCCGACATGTATAGAACTAGAACTTGGCAAGACGGCCTAGATGAGTGTAGCGGTAAACGGAAAAAAAGTCACAGGAAAAAAAAACACAGAAAAAAAGTCACAGTTTTTGCTAGGAAAAAAAGTCACAGAAAAAAAGTCACAGTGGAAAAATTTTTTTGGAAAAAAAGTCACAGAAATAAAGTCACAGAAAAAAAGTCACAAAAATATTTTTAGAAATATTTTTTTTATTTGTTTAGAATAGTAAAATTTTGTATGTTTCTTGTCGTGGGTTGTATTTTTTTATAGCATAAATTATTTATAGACGTTAAAAGCATTATGGTTTATAACAATTGTAAGTAAAAATACTCTAACAAATTTACACAACAATCTCAACTTTTGTTACGTATTTAGTTAAAAACGCGGTAGAAAATTTAACTATAAAAAAAATTTAGGCTATTCTCTGGTCGGTCTCTCCTCAGTAGGCATTGTCCGAACATATTTTGTGTTGTTGACGTCATGCGTCAATGACAGCATTTGAACCTTGTCGGCTTTCTTTTTTGATCCTAAGTGTTGTTATGTAATGAGCGTGATAAATGTGGGCAGTAAAGGTGGTTGAACTAAACATCTAAACATAACTATTGTGGCCATGAGTTGAGGGCAGCAAGTCAGACGAACTTACCATTTCACGGTAATTTAATGTTGGTATTTTAAAAAAAAACAGGATTAAAACCGTGGACTTTGGAGCATTCTATTGAACGCTACTAATCTTAAGTTTAAAATAATTACAATCTACATACTTCATACTAAATATTTTTAGATGAATTATAAAAATTCCTATGCGTATACAGCCTACACACATTACATTACATTAAATTAATCCTAAGTTAATTTGCACTCTCTGAATATTTAATACATAAAAAGTATTAACAAGTATCATGAAAATATATATTTGTGACTTTTTTTCCTGTGACTTTTTTTCCTGTGACTTTTTTTCCTGTGACTTTTTTTCTGTGTTTTTTTTTCCTGTGTTTTTTTTTCCTGTGACTTTTTTTCCTACAATCGAGTGTAGCACCCTGGCGGTGTAGACCCAGAATAGCATCCGTACCACCAAATGTTGGCTGGTATTTCTGTCTGCCGGCACAACACAACTTGAAATTGACAGACATCTCGCGAGCTGAAGTATGTACTGTAATGTGCATGTGAAATATCGCTCCATCGCGCCAATTAGTTAACAAGCTAACGGGGTCTACAGCGAGTGTAGCAGCTTGTACAGTTGTGGGTATAGCACATAGCATTGCCAACACCACCAGCCAATAGAATACCATGTAGTGATGTAGTCTAGTCAACACGCTACGTGCAATACTTGTGACTTTCTCCGCCTGTGGTTGGGGCCAACAACGAATAGGCCCAGTGTACCCTTTCTGGTTCTGACCAACAAATCAACATATAGTCCACTGTGTAGATGAGGCCAACAATATAGGTATAAAGCACTGTATGTGGTTATACATATACACAATAGGCCATAGTTGTGCCATAATTGAATTAATTGTGCTGTCAAAGAACAATCAGTTGAACACTGTGTAACTGGATAGCGGAGGGGAGCTAGTTACCTATTGGACTAAGGTATTATATTTAAGTTACCCTTTCGGACTCAACCTTCCATACAGCAGATGAAGTAGATTTGAAGTAGACTTCATCTGTTTCTTAACAGTGTGAATGGTTGGTGTGGCTTTTACCTTCCCTAACAACCTAACGTGAGTCAAGTACCCATTAGAGTTGGGGCGGACCCAGCTACTTCCTACAGACTTGAGTTCAAGGTCTGAACTCAAGACTTTCCAGTTGGCAGTCTAGAGCTCTAGAACCCGACCAGGCTGTCGTACAAGTTGTTATGGGTCATGTTCAAATCTCCTATTTACATTATCTGTTGGTTTTAAATGAGAGAAAAAACAAATTCTCTCATGTAGGCATACCAACGTCTGACTACCCCCCCCCCATCCACGTAGGCACACTACCAACGTCTGACTGCCCCCATCCACGTAGGCACACTACCAACGTCTGACTACCCCCATCCACGTAGGCACACTACCAACGTCTGACTACCCCCATCCACGTAGGCACACTACCAGCGTCTGACTACCCCTATACACGTAGGCACACTACCAACGTCTGACTACCCCCATCCACGTAGGCACACTACCAGCGTCTGACTACCCCTATACACGTAGGCACACTACCAACGTCTGACTACCCCCATCCACGTAGGCACACTACCAGCGTCTGACTACCCCTATACACGTAGGCACACTACCAACGTCTGACTACCCCTATACACGTAGGCACACTACCAACGTCTGACTACCCCTATACACGTAGGCACACCAACGTCTGACTACCCCTATACACGTAGGCACACTACCAACGTCTGACTACCCCTATACACGTAGGCACACTACCAACGTCTGACTACCCCTATACACGTAGGCACACTACCAACGTCTGACTACCCCTATACACGTAGGCACACCAACGTCTGACTACCCCTATACACGTAGGCACACTACCAACGTCTGACTACCCCTATACACGTAGGCACACTACCAACGCCTGACTACCCCCACTCCGTATTGTGTCCCATACATATGTTCCATACATATGTTCCATACATATGTTCAATACATATGTTCAATACGTATTTGATCAAGCTGGTGAGACCTGACGCGTAAAACGTTTCTCAATTACATTATAGAAAATCAATTCCACTGTGGTTATTAGAGCGTGGATTGTAACTTAAACAATGCGTTATGCAAATTTTAAATTACAGGTTAATTAACATGGGCGTTATTGATCTTATGATTTCTTTCGCTGTCATAAGCTTGTTTAACTACATAGGTAGGCCTATAATCTTCGTGATTTTTTCCATTAACGAGTCCAAATGAATCATACATCATCACGTGACCAATAATTGATTTCTTTGTTATCCAGTATCCAAGGGACAGTATTAGAGGTCTGGGTTTTCCCGCTATCTGTTGTTAGCACAGCGCGCGACACGTCTCCGGACGATTCTGTGTAAATCCTCAGAACGAGGCTCACAACATGGCCGTCACCAGCCCACGGGGACGGGCCAAGACCACGCGCAAACAATCCATAATCTTCAGGTTGGCTTCTCTTCCAGA